GGGCTACACGAGGGGCCTCCGCTGTTCCTCAGAAGGGCAGGATGGAAGCAACAGCTTTCAGGAACAGCAGCCAGGAGGAAGTGGAAGGAGAGCTACACGGACGACAGAGACACTCAAAGATCTGCGGTTCCTTCTGGGGGAGGGGCAGAAGAAAAAGGTGCAAAAGACCAAGACTAGAAGAAGTTACATCAGGATTGAAAGGGGGACCATTATGGTTCAGATCAGACACTTTTACTTACAGCCAAAATGGTGAATTCCTGCAAAAGTAAAGACCACCAAGAAGAAAAGAGAGAGGAATCCCAATTATGGTTAACGCACACAGACACAGAAATGAGCCCTTTTCCTTCTTTGCTAGGGCAATGTGTGGGAACAGCATGGCATGGGGGGGGTAGTCATGCTTGGGGAGATTTTAACATCATCATGGAAGCATGGTGGTCATACAATGCAATAAAGAGGCATAGCACAAATTCAGTTCTTGTCAGTTTCTCTGGAAGTGAACTCTGCAGGATGGACTTCCTTCTGCATTATCACTATGGTATCTGGGGTGTCAATCAGAATGGTTGTTGACAAGAACCCACGTAAAACTGGATAATACCAATCCTGAAGACTCACGAGGACTATCCTGAGTACATCTGGGTTAAACCTTAGGCAGTGGCTGACACACTTACTAATGACCTTTCTAACTTACAAATGTTATTTAGTGGAAGGATAAGAAGTTTGCATGGTGAATAGAATAGTTGTGTCACCTTTCCAGTGAATGACATGGCATTTATTGAGGTCTAGTGCATGTGACTTAAACTTTAGTCCAAAGCGAAGTCAGAGTGTACTGGCAACAAAGTCTAAGTAACAGGGCCCTGGACATTCTGCATTTCAAATATCTTGAAATTATTGCAACAAAAATAATGCTTACTTTATGGTAGCTACTTTTTAAAAATGGAGGGGGCAGAGACTCCTTTTGAGTCCTGGCTTACACAATTAGTTTTTTAAATAATGTAAACTGAATGATCAAAAATGGAAAAGCTATGACATGGCATCTGATATAAGATACTTTTCAAATCCTATTTTGACTGGTATCAGTAACACAGATAAATGGTATCGGAACTTAGGAAAACACCTGACTTTTTTCCTTGGGTGATTTGGCAATATTGATTTCTGCATTATGCATAAAATAAATGGAATGGTTTAAATACTTTGGTAACAGTTACATTTACTGTTATAATCCTGGGGTTCAAACCACATGAATGTTTTCTTGTCTACAGGTGGTTTAGTATTTAAAATATGCCTTTTTCTAGGTTAAGTAACAGCTACTAGATAAGTGGCCACTTAATAATTAGGCAAAATGATGACTTTGATGCACTTTAAAGACTGCTAACGAAGGCCAATCAACTGCTCTTTCCAGCATGTTACTTGTTGCACAGTATAATATGTAAAATATTGTTGATCATTCCAGCTCAACTTAAGCCACATGACCAAATCTGTAGAGTTGATGTGTTTATTTTCTGCTCCTAGCAAACCTGGCACTCTTCTTGAGAAACGAGCTTGGATTTGTACCCTAATGCTGTGGCGACATCTTTTTACTCATAGCTCTTAAATATTCTACCGTCTAGAATGTACCTGAGTGATGGTGAATGTGGCCCGTCAATACTTAACATGTATTTCTAAAACACACAAGTCAAGAGGCATTTTACACATTTGGCAGGCAAGGAAAAAAAATAAGTAAAGAAACATTTTCAAGAGCTAGTTCTAGGGCGATCAGTCTTGATAATGCTCAGATTATGGCAGTAAGACATCGCAATGACTTCTCCTAGGCACACTTCATTCATCTGCCTGAATTATTCAAGGCATTTAGTGCCTATGGACGTCATGATAGACAGCGATATTCTTTCTGTAGAGTTATACTGTAACTCTGGTCATGCAAGAATGAAAGCCATACCAAAATAAGGGATAAAACTTCATAGAAAATAAGCAGGCAACGGCTATTTTTTGTAGAAAAAATAAACAAAGGTAAAGTATACTTTCAGGTATTTTTAGTCTACGAAACTATAAAGAAATAAGTATCATGATTGAAAATGCAGTTCTGTATGCTTGTAACTGATTTCAGGTAGAACTAGCTCTTTGAGAACAGAAAGATTTCTGTCTTTAAAACCAGCTCGATAAGCATATTTTAAAAACAGGTTGGAAGGTCAGATATGCAATGTAAGGAGAGAAAATGATTTCAGGAGAAAGCCAGATTCAAATATTGTAGCTACTGTGATACATTTTAGATAATGTGCCAAAGTGGAAGAAAGAGAAAAGGCCAGAATTTAATAATATATACGTTTAACATCGGAAGCTGCATGCAAAGGTCGGGTTTTCAGGAAATAGTTAGAAGTGCTCTATGCATAAGTCAATCTATCTACAGAGTATCCAGTGTATTTCCAAAACATGCAGATCAAAGTTTTAGAAGCTATTTTCTACAAGGTGAGGTAAAGGTGTCTGCAGTTAGTCCTACTACCGAGCAAAACCTACCTGGAATGAAATACTGTTCTTTAGCTAAATAAAAAAAGAGAAAAAAAAATAGAAGATGCACCTGAATGTCAGCAAGCAGAGATATGAGTTATATTAGATCAAGAATGGACTGAAGTTACTACAGATCATTAAGTGAAAACATGGGTAATCCCAGCAGAGGCCACAGTATACTAACATACAGTGAGTAGTTAATGCATCTAAAACCGCCGACAATAACCAGCGTGGGGCTGAGAGTAGCATTTTAGTATGAATTAAGTGCCCAGTGTGAAACGCGTCTGGAGTAGACAGGTAGCGTACTACCGAAACCGTGGAGGATGTCTTCTGTCATGAGAGAGAGCTGAGCCACCAGCACAGTGCAACGCGCAAGCTTTCTCCTCCACAGTGATGCACTCTGCACTTACATTCGGCATTTTATAAATCAATGGAACGTTCCCCAAATGTTAAAAGATGACCTTTGGGGGAACAAAAAGGTATCCTCATGGTCTTCAGAATAAGATAATGCAAAATGAGAAAGGGCATTCAGAGAGAGAGGCAGCAGATGCCCCTCCCACACCTCTGAGCCCAAGCACATCACATAACCAAGTCTTCACTCTCGGAAGACACAGAACCATGATGGGTGACCAGATGGCGGTCATCAGAAACTAGCACAACCATCATGAGCCTTCATTTACCTTGAAGTCATTCTGAGTTAGCTAAAAGGCCCTGGGTGAGTTTGACTCTTGGGAATACAGTGCAGAGCACCCGGGCACCTTTTCGCCCTGGGCCACAGCCTGAGTGGGTACCGTGTTGACAGTGTTACGCACACAAGTACCACAGAAGTTGTGTCTACCGTACTCTTTTTTTTTTTTTTTTTTTAAATTTTCATAGGCAAAAGGAAAAAGAAACTGTTTCTACAATGTTTGGCCATCAACCGAGAAAGCCAGTTGCTTTTGTTGGATCTCATGTGACCCGTATTTTTAGCCGCACGGGCAAATGCCACACAGAGTGAGTTACCTGAACAGCGGAACTTCTTGCTTTTGATCTGTCCGATTCTTTTATTTGCCAGACGGCGGGGGCTGGTGCAGCGGGCGCCACTGGTCTCGATTGGGTTGGTGTGGAGGTAATCCGCCAGCCACTTGAGGTGACAGTCGCAAATAAAGGGGTTCTGGGCCAGGTGCCTTCCGGAAACACACAGAGAACAGTTTGATCCATGACTTGACATGGATCTCCACTCACATTCAGAGCAAAAACAACGGCCATAAATGAGATCCGGATCGTGTATACATACATGGTTTGAATGGCCCGGAGAGGGGCGAAGGTCCCCTTGGCGATGGTCTGAAGCTTGTTGTCATACAAGGAGAGAAGGTTCAAGTTGTGGAGGTCCTGAAAAGCATCTACCCGAAGGCAGTTTATCTTGTTGGCATTCAATAATCTGTTTGATCAAACAGTTGCAGAATTAAGGTGTAGCATGTCATCAACCCACCTGCAAGATCTCGTCCTTCCTGAGAAAACCTAACCGAGAAATACATTTCCTTTAACCTCAACGCTAACTCTTTTGCTACAATATTTCAGGAATTACACATTGTGGAGATTGGGAGTTTTACCAGGTCAAGCAAGAGACATGTGGTCAAATGAAATGAAATCTAGTGGTACTTAGACATGTAGGGTACTTAGAAATGCAGGGTACTTAGACATGCAGGGTACTTAAGACACTTAGACTCCATAGCAATCCTTCTCTCTCTTTTTGGGAAAATGCAGGGGTAAAACAGTAGACAAATGTGGGTGAGATCCATCCCTGTTATTAAGGACACTGTAGAAATGCCATAGAACATTATTGGTCCCCCAAGCTGCTCTGTGAGAAGGAGGTTCCATCTGTTCTGAAAACAGCAGCTAAAGACCTTCCTGAGTTCAGATGAGACAATGTCACTGTCTGAACACCATGTGACAGCTGCTAAGTCCTCACTTGGAATGCAAAGAGGGTCTGTAGACCCCCCAGCTCCCCAGAACCCTGCTGCCTCCCAGCTCTTCTTCCTGCATTTTAGCTCCACCTGCCCTGTGCTCCTGCTCTTCTTCAAATACACCAAACTCTCCCTTCCTTTGTCTGGAATGTTCTTTCCTAGATGCCTGCCTAGGTAGTCGCCTGGCTCCCTCCAGTCTGCTCAGAACTCAGGTTCTCAATCCTGCCTACCTAACACTGTCTTAGTATTCACACCCAACTTTGCCTCTTTCCCAAGCCCTCGTCCTCTCAATCCCCATGACGTTCACCCACTTTTGCTGTATTCTCAAGCACGTGTATTTACATATTTCTGTTACACATACACTACGTAACCTTCCTGTTATTTCTGACCGTTACTCGTCCATACCCTGGAGACATCAGACATCGTGTTCATGGTATACCCTGTCCTCAGGTGCTGTGTGCTCAGTATCTGTCGTTGAATGAATACTTTACAACCCTTTTGGGTTGCCGTACCAAAGGCAAGTTAAACACTGTTTAACTTTATTTTTTTGAAATTTCACTGTTACTTTCTTATTTTTCTGCATTCTTCACTGTACATCTTTCCAGCACACAAAACAGATTTTCCCAGCATGAATACACTGCATAGCCAGCCACAGTTTGACAGTTAGTCGCGGCAGCTGTCTAAGCAGAGTGTCTCGGGGATACAGTCTTGGCACTTACAGGCAACTCTCATGAAAGAGTAGGTGGGAGACCACCATGGGGCTCAGCCCCCTGCACGCAGTCTTCATATCTGGGGAAGCTATCCCAGCCCGCTCTCCCTTCAGATTTTCCAAGCAAAGGTTGATGACCCTATCGCCAGGTCTTCATTTTTCCAACTACCGATCATTTCAGAACGGAGATGGATCACAAAACCAAGGGCCGCACAAGCTTTGAACAGAAGAGCAGCAAGAACGTGCACATTCACGACAGTGGGAGGACTTGGGGGACAGTTTCAGAAGTTGTTCTCCAAGCCAAGAACCACCATCAATGTTAGCTCTTCTAGAATTATCTTTTTATTCCTTAGGTTATTGCCATAGGGCATGTGCCCAAGCAGGAGAGAAACGCAGAGAGAGCCAGTGAGAGCGGAAAGTGAGAAATCACCCCCCAAGGGGGATGGCCACGTGGCAATCCCTACCCTCCTCTTTCCTCCTCAGATTTTGGGCACACATGTACCCAGTGTGGACTGCAAGCTGCCAAGTCTAGGACTCAAACAGTGGAGAGTGGGAGACCAGTGCTTTAACCACCATGCCACCTGCTGGTCCTCAGACTAATCCTTTCCATTTTATTGAACTGTATCATTTGGAGTCTAATTTTTATGAAGCTCTGTGAAAATATGAGATGATAAGCTAACTAAAATATGGTATTAGATTCAACCAATCCAAAATAAACAAATACTTACAGTAGCTGTAAGGAAAACAATCCTTCAAACAAACTTTTTGGAAGTTCTGTGATCTTATTTCCATAGAGGACACTGAAAAAAAAATTTCAGTGAAAATATCAGACAGCAAATCGGCACAGCAAATTCATCTCCTGCAAATGTACTCAGGCGTAGGGGAGGCGGGAGGCACTCAGCCTATCACCAAATCACAGCTGCAAATGTCTCTGCCAGATTACAGATTAGATGTCTGTTTACCGGAGAAAATTCGGAAAACGGGGAAAAACAAAGATGAACAAAAATAACATAATTCATCGTTTTATTGCCCCTTCACACGCATCGCCCCTGCTGTTTTGCTGCTGATGCTCAACGCACGCACAAGGAACAGGCTCTGTAATGACTGCGAATCCATTGCTCGTTCCAGGGTAGCTGTGGCTGGCTGCACTCGCAGCCCTGTACGAAACTTACAGAAAGGGAAGGCGTTCCTTGAAAACTTAATGTTGTGTGTGCTTGAGAAACGGAACACCTGTGCAGACAGTGACTGTGGGTATGAATTTAGGACAATTTTGAAACTTACATGAGGCAGACGGAGCTGCCATGATGCCCCCTCTGAACAGAGGCTCTGTGTTCCTGTCCAGAGTAGGACCTACAGGACTCAGAGGGCAGCAGGACTGGGTGACTTTGCTGTACTTTACCTGGAACTTTGTCAGATTAGAACCTGACAGCTACCCTGAGGTCTATGTTTCCTGCCAACGAGTCCTCCTCTGGTCTTGGCTTTCTTCTAGCCAACCCCTCTAACAGAAATAGGAAGGAACAGAAGTAAACCCCAGGCCAGGGCTGAGTGCTGCCACCCCCACGCCCAGGTGGGCGCTGCCATCGTCCCTCCCTGGGTCTGAGGGAGGGTCAGTTCCTACACACCCCGGGGGTCTCTCTGCCTCTGTCACAGACACTCGGAGAGGAGAGGGGCAGGGAGTCACACAGCGGGAGCCCTCCCCTCAGCATTAAGTATGTGGGGTTTTGATTTTAAGTGAGAAAGCCCTCCCTGTGGGGAATGGCCAGGCCACAGTCCCTTCTCCTCCGTCTCTCCCTCCTTACAGGATTTTGGGCATGCGCACACCACCCCAGGGTCTGGGATTTGAACCACCAGCCGGTCATGTTGACGCAGTCACCCTTACCACCATGTCAAGGGCTGGCCCAAGCACCAACGCTCACATACACAAGGCCCCCTCTATTTTTTTATCTTTATGTTTTACAGGGTACTTCAGTTGCTGGACCTTTGAAGTTTGCTTTGCTTTGTTTTTTACTAGTTTGAAGGGATAATGGTCTTGATAGCTTTATTTTAGAGCTTTAATTTACATAGTGTCTCCCTGAAACCCTCCGGTTGGCTTTCTTCTAGCCAACCCCTCTAACAGAAATAGGAAGGAACAGAAGTAAACCCCAGGCCAGGGCTGAGTGCTGCCACCCCCACGCCCAGGTGGGCGCTGCCATCGTCCCTCCCTGGGTCTGAGGGAGGGTCAGTTCCTACACACCCCGGGGGTCTCTCTGCCTCTGTCACAGACACTCGGAGAGGAGAGGGGCAGGGAGTCACACAGCGGGAGCCCTCCCCTCAGCATTAAGTATGTGGGGTTTTGATTTTAAGTGAGAAAGCCCTCCCTGTGGGGAATGGCCAGGCCACAGTCCCTTCTCCTCCGTCTCTCCCTCCTTACAGGATTTTGGGCATGCGCACACCACCCCAGGGTCTGGGATTTGAACCACCAGCCGGTCATGTTGACGCAGTCACCCTTACCACCATGTCAAGGGCTGGCCCAAGCACCAACGCTCACATACACAAGGCCCCCTCTATTTTTTTATCTTTATGTTTTACAGGGTACTTCAGTTGCTGGACCTTTGAAGTTTGCTTTGCTTTGTTTTTTACTAGTTTGAAGGGATAATGGTCTTGATAGCTTTATTTTAGAGCTTTAATTTACATAGTGTCTCCCTGAAACCCTCTGGACTTCAGAGAGCTGCCATACTTCCTGATCTTTGCTCCTAGGAGATTAACCGTGGTTCTCCGGGGAACTCTCATGCGGTGAGAGAGGAGGGGAAGGGCTCTCACCATCTCAGTCTACTGGGACTGGCACTGCCCTGTCACACGGGGCTAAGGATTAAGGGATTACAGGTACGGTGTGGTCCAGGACACACCAAGTAAACACTTCCCTTCTATTCACAGAGCAAAGGGCTGCTATTCTTGTTCTCTTAATAGTAAAATGATTAAACCACAATACATGCACCCCTAAAAACAGCTAATTTGGGGGCCAGCAGGTGGCATGCTAGCTAAGGCACTGAACTTCCACAAGCCTGCCCCAAATTCCAAGAGCAGAATGGAGGAGAAAAGATTGCAGCGTGGCCATTCTCCCTGGGAGCTGGTCTCTCACTATCTCTCTCCCTGTCTCTCTCCAGAGAACACAGGTACCCTATAGCGAAAACCTTTAAAAAAAAGATAAACCAGCTAGTTTTCATGACTGTGACAGTACCCATAGAATGACAGGACCTGTGAATAATTTATGATTTCCGAATTCCGCACGAGGCTGACGAGGGTGCCTGTCCTCAGCCCCAGGCTCTGAGGCAGCAGTACTTACAGGGAGTTCAGTGAGCGCAGTCCTTGGAAGGCGTCTGGGGCGAGTTCCGAGATCTGGTTATTGCTCAGGTCGCTGGGGACAGAAATCGGGTGCAGTTAATCGGGGAATGCCACCTACGGCTCCCACCTGCTGGTTTTGCACCTGGTGATCTGCACACCGCGTGTGCAACATAAAACACCTGCAAACCCTCCATTTGTTAAAGAAACACACTTTCTGTATCAACCACTAGTTATTTTCCTAAATTCCTATGAAAGAGGCAATGTCTTGGGGGCCAGCCATGGCATAGAGGTTACGTCCCCAGACTCGCACATGACCAGATGTGATTGTATTCCCAGACCTGGTGGCTTGAAACACACTCCAGGTGCATGTGCACGCGTGTCCACCATCCCAGGAAGAGAATGGAGGGGCTATAGTGTGGCCATCACCCTGCAGGCTGATTTCTCCTGATTTCCCACTTTCCCTCTCTCTGTCTCTCCATCTGTCTCTTTCTCTCTGTCTCCAGTAAGTACACGTGGCTTATGCCAAAAACCTCTTAAAAAAAAAAGCCACATCTTACTTTGGACACTAGAATGTCTGAGAATTTGCATAATACACTGGCCGCGTACACTCCCACGTGTGTGAGTACATATGAGGAGTTACGGAGAACCTTAACAATGACATAGTTTAGCTAATAAGATTGAAATAGAGTGGAACCAGCAGTCCTATCATCGCATCAGTTAGTATTTAAGCTGTCAAACACTAAAATATTCATACTTGGGTTTCTTTGCCTGGTCGTGACCTGTATAATTTTTAAAATTACATATATTTTGGAATATTGTTCACTCACATTCTTCTCAGCTTTTTGTATGGTGAGAAAGCTCCAGGAGGGATGACCTTGATCGAGTTCTGTTCCAAACGTCTGCAAGGAAAAATTCAGGTTTTAAATGGAAACGTGAGCTCTCAAAATGTTTAATTCAGCTCGGGATTTGTTTGTGTTATAGAAGCATAAGTAATGTTTTTTCCTTAAAAATAATGACTAAATGAATCATGTTATTCCCAAAATGTGAATCAAGATTGAGATTATAAACATGGCAATTGTAGGGAACCAGCAGTTAGCGTAATGGCTATGTCGCTGGACTCCCACGTAGTCGACCGCGGTTCGTGTCCCGGACCCGGTGGCTTAAAACTCACGCCGGGCGCGTGTGCGTGCGTGCCCAAGATCCCGAGAGGAGAATGGAGGAGAAGGGATTGCGGCGTGACCATCCCCCCTGGGGGGTGATATCTCGCTTTCTGTCTCTATGTCTCTCTCTGTCTGTCTGGCGAGCGCACGCGCCCTACAGTGAAAATCTCTCCAAAAAAAAAAAAACATGGCAATTGTAACAGTAATAAAATATTCTCATCATCAAGCATTACAAGTCCCTCAATAGTTAAGTCTGGACTTCTCCTGAGACTTTTCCCTCTTGATTTAGTTTTACCTTCTAATTCCCTAAGGATGGTATTTAACTCAATTCCCTGTTACCTTATTGATTATATATGTTGGGTCGATGGTGTAGAGACATTTTCTTTGCCTCAACTTATTCTTCTATTCAAATTTCAAGTTGTTAATGGAATCAATAAAAATACAAAGGAAACAAGCTCTAGATGAAATACTATTGATTAGCTAGAGGACTTTCTTAGAATGGGGTCCAATGAAATGTTATCTGGATGTGTTAAAGGTTTGCTTACAACAGCATAATGGTATGATGAAGAAAAACTAACAATTCTCGGGGACTAGTAGGTTTCTCCTGACAGTAAGACAAAGCTAATTTATATAGTTACTTTTCATAACTGTCACTTAGGTTCTTGAAAATAAAGAAATCAATAATTATTCATCATCCATTGATCCATCCACCCATTCATTTACTGTACAAATGCTTAATTAAATATTTTGCTTCTCTGGCAAAATATTATGCAACATCATAGAATTCAACATTGATCAAAAGCATCATGTGAATGTCCTCATGAGGAGGTTGCATTTATAAAGAGGATAATTTTGCAGTTGGATTTCCAAGTGAATTTCTCCAACATATTTTTTTTAATGCTACATTCAAAATTGTGAATTCTGAAATATCAATGACCTTCACTCACAAACATGACAAAACTAATTCTACCTCTTAACATAAGTGAACATATCTCTTGGAGATTTAAAAATTTACTTATTATTTAAAGTCTCAGATCTTAGAATACCAAAAATAATTTGGGGACCAACAGGTGGCATGGTGGTTAAGGCGCTGGACACTCCCCCATGACTGGCCATTGTTTTAGTCCTGGACCTGGTGGCTTAACTTTTTCACTTTCTCTCTCTCTCTGCCTTTCTCTGATCAAATTAAAGTAAGTGACTGAATAAATAAAATTAAATAAGCAATTCCTTAAAAAATGAAATACCTATAATAATAACCAATTGTTCTAAAGGTCCTTAGATATATGTTATTAGGATGACTTCGGCGTTTAATCTATAAGTAATTTCATTAATAAATATCCTTATATAGCAAAAACAAGAAGACAGACAATAATTGAGGCCCCACTTTTTTAAGAATTGAATACTTTAAAAAAATGATAAAACCAAAAGAATTCATGATGAACGAGCACTGGATTTTACTTGCAGCAATCACCCTTTGGACAAACCAACACTCACGTCTCACTCATGACTGCCACGTCCCCTGGTTCCACCTTTGCGTTGCAAACTATCTCACTGACCACAGTGAAGAGACCTTCCAACAGCTCACAGGCACAGGCACTGTGAAGCAACACACGTTTTATGCCAAAACAAACTCCTATTTTAATTTCCTTTCTCCATGAACGTTTTGCAGTGTATCTGCATATAATAGAAAGCTAAGGAACGACATATATGGTAGATTTGCTTGCCGCCTTCTACTTGTTTTCAAACTTGCTCCCCCAAAAGGGCATTTAAGACAGAGCTTAGGGGACCAGCAGTTAGCGTAATGGCTATGTCGCTGGACTCCCACGTAGTTGACCACAGTTCGCGTCCCAGACCCGGTGGCTTAAAACTCACGCCGGGCATGTGTGCGTGTGTGCCCAAGATCCCGGGAGGAGAATGGAGGAGAAAGGATTGTGGCGTGGCCATCCTCCCTGGGGGTGATTTCTCGTTTTCTGTCTCTCTGTCTCTCTCTGTCTGGTGAGCGCACACGCCCTATAGCAAAAAAACCTCTCCAAAAAAAACGAAAAACAGAAAACAAAAAAAGACACAGCTTAGACTGTGAGGCGCACTGACTCAGCCACCCAGCTGGGATTTATCGCACTCTCCGTGGTCCATCAAGACCAAACATCATGGCGTGGCTCACTCAGCGAGACAGACTCTCAGGAGGAAAACGGCCTACCCTACAGAGCTGTCAATACATGTGAGAACATGTCACATGTCTGTTGTCTCTTCTTTTATGTGTTTCCTGTAAATTTTTGGATCTTTAGGGTAAAAAGCTTGTCTTTTTCATTACAAGACCTTTGGAATATTTTTATAAACCACAAACAACACGTATCTCAATAATGGTGTCCTTTCTCTTAAGAAAAGAGTAGAGTCTTGAAACCAGATTACAAAACCTAGGGAAGAGAAATACTAGACTTTTAGCTTCAGGTTAAAAATAAAGCAAATAAAATTTACATTTTCTAGCTTTGCTATCCTTTAATCTTCTGCTTTAATAGCATAGAATCTGCTGAATTTTATTGAGTGCAAATTTGAATCCATTGTTCCATGAAGAATCTAATTAAAACAATTCTAGGGTTACAAAAATGAATAGCATAGTGGCTAAGAGACCTTTGCACGCTGGGGATAAGCTCTACCATCATCAATAGCCTTCGAAATGCTGGTCCTTCGGAGAAAAGTCAATGCTTTGATTTTTCAAGTAAAAACATATTTAGCAAAGTGAAAAGAGGGAGACAATTCTGCAGACCACATACGACAAGGAAGACTTTCATGTTACATGGACATTATGTGAACTATTTCAAGATTTTTTTTTATCATTTTATGTGTATATGTGTATGAAATCAATAATTATTCATCATTCAACCAAAGCAATGCCTCTTAGCAGTTTTTCAAAATTCAGTTTTAGCATGCTCAATCAGATACGAAAATGGAGACAGTTTTCTAACTGCTCTAGTAAACACCACAAAAGAGCTGAGAAGCATGTTAGACTAATGAAATGGCCCTCTGCCCACCCGCCCTCGCCCTCCGGACTCCTCCTCTTGCTCTCCACGTACTGCTATTTTATCACATCCTTGGAGTTCTGAAAGAATGAATGGCAAACAATATTCAACACTTTCCGGTACCTCCTTTTTGTTTTAAAAGGTTTATCTATTTAATTTTATATACTATTATTAATTTGCTATAGGGCACCAGTGAGAGAGAGAGGGAAAGTGAGAAAGCAAGCCACCCAGTCGAGAACTCAAAGCACCGTTGGCCATGTGGGAGTTCAGCGGCCCATCCACCATGCCACGTGTCGGCCGCACTGGTATCTATTTTAAAGATTATAGAAGATGGGACCAGCAGTTAGCGTAATGGCTATGTTGCTAAACTCCCATGTAGTCGGCCGTGGTTCGAGTCCCAGACCCTGTGGCTTAAACTCACGCTGGGCGCGTGTACGTGTGTGCCCAAAATCCCAAGAGGAGAATGGAGGAGAAGGGATTGCGACATGGTCATCCCCGCTGGGGGTGATTTCTCGCTTTCTGTCTCTTTGTCTCTCTGGTGAGCGCATGCACCCTATAGCAAAAACCTCTACCCTTAGAACATGGCAATTATGTGCAGGCACAACTCGCAGCAAAGAAATCCCAGTTCTGTCCCTGTGAACTGAAGGGCTGTGACTCGTACAACCCTCTCTTGGTTACCGGTGGGAGGGTCTGACATCATCGGAGGGCACAATGCGAGTACCCTCGAGCAACTGAACACGCCAACTCGCCCTTTACGCAATACTAAACAACATTAGGGTATTCTCAACGGTCCTTCAGGTTCGCTAGCATTCAACTCTATTTTAATAATTAAATTATTTTGACTAACAATACCAAATAACATCCACATGCCAAGTCTTACACAGCTCTCCTCAAGGGGCATTTATGCACTTTGTATATGCGTTTATAAAAAAAATAAAAACGTGTCACAGTGTTGGACTACGACTGTGGACTTACACAGACTTGGCTCGAACTCTGCCTCTGCCAGAGCTCTGTGGACTTTACAGAGATGGCTGTACTGCTCTGTCTGTTCCCTTTTCTAAAAAATTGGGGGGAATCGACCTTTGCTCTACAGAAAATATAAAGGAAATATATATTTTCCTTGCACCCAAAAGGTGTGAAAGAATAAAAACATAGGGTGATATGTGTGCAGGCATGCCCTCACATATATATGCATATATGTATCTTTACATATGTCGTTGCCTATTAAGTGAATAGAATATGAAGCAGTACATATGCTGTGTTAGTTATGCGCACGTGCACGCACACACACGCACACACACATTATATGAAGGAGCAAGCCTGACATATGATTTTATCTTCAGTGTGAAATAAATACATACAGATCCAAAGCATGTTTTTAAACAAATTAGCAGTGCGGTTCTGCAGATGACACAGTCAGTCTACATTAAGCCCAGACGCACATGTAGCATTCATGCGAGCTGAGAAAGACGTAACTGGTTGCAATTTCCACGACCGACATGATTAAAATATAGCAGTTTCCCTAATCTCGAGACGGCTTGGAGACTCCAGAGTCTTTTTGGAATACCCAGTGAAGTATGAGTCTGGATTGGTAGTGTCTGTAACGCAGGGCCCGATGCTGATTATACACGGCAATAAAACTGACAGTTCTTCGCATTTTCTCCATCTGCTTTTAATGTAAATGGCAAAAACAGCTGCTGGAGGGTAGGACATAGATCTCAC